CACAGGGCACAGAGCTCACGGCCGGGCTCTGGGCTAGCGTCCTCATCTTTGACAGGAACAGAGAGACCCTGGGAACGAGGGGGCCTCAGCCAGTCAGCTACAGACGCACCCTTCACGTGGCAAAGGGTTTTGTGGAGGGGCCCCACCGCCCAGCTAGTGAGGCTTGAGCTCGGAAAAGTGGGGGGGGGGCCGTGCCGACTGCACGCCGCCTGCATCCGACCCAAACCCTCGTGCTGCTGACCCTGAGCCCAGGCTCTGGGCCGGGGTCCCCTCCGAAGCCACTTTCCTGCCCTGTGTTCCCACCCTCAACTGGCACCTGGGGATCAGGTCTTGGCTCCGGGAGGCCAGCTTGGTCAACGTGGTCATAAGCGCAGTGATGACCTGCGGGGGACACTTGGGAAGGGTGGCGGAGGGGCGGGACTGGGTGACCTCAAACAGTAGGGCCTCCAGGGCTTCGAAGAACTTGTTGATCTGCTCCACGGTGCACCGCCGGTCCCAGCTCACCGACAGGTACTCGCCGATGGCCCACACCTAGGCGGGGACAGCGCCTCAGACGCATGTCCGGGCCCTCCTGAGTCAGGAGGGGAGGGGGAGCGGCCGGTCTTACCACGGAGGTGAGCAGGACGCCACCGCTGCGCGTGCTGCTGGCACTGCCCGCGAACTCCAGGAGCTCCTTGGCCAGCTCGACCACCAGGGCGGGGTGCCGCTTGCACAGGGCCGGGAACTGGGAGCTCAGCACACTGCCGGGAGAGGACCCCCGCGGTCCGCCGCACGCCCCTCGCAGGCCCCGGGCCCACAGCCCACCCGGGAGGGCGGCGGGCAAGCCTCTGGGCACCAGGTGGGCACAGAGGTAGTTCTGGCCCCTAAAAGAACCTATCACTCCACTGGGGAGGGGCTGGGACCAGCCCTGTTCTCGGTCCTGGGCTTGAATGGACTGGGGACAAGCTTGCAAGGAGCAGGCCCTTAGACAGGGAACAGATAGTCTGGAAGGCTCTGTGGAAGAGGGACCTGGGCCAGTGCTATCGATGACAGGCTTGCAGGAGGAGGGGAGGACACGAGAACATTCTAGATTTGGGATGGAGAGATCTGTATGGCGCCGAGTCTAAGCCTGGGGATGGCGCCGGCAGTGACAGTGCTGTAGCTGAGGACGAAGTGGGGAATGGGCGTGTGGCAAGCTAAGTGCAAAGGCCAGTGAAACCAGGATGGACGAAGCCCCATAGGTGGCCAGCAGGGGACCCACCTGTGCACGCGGGCTTCATACTCTGGGACCTGGTAAAGCGAGTCACTTCTCTCCAGGATCGCCAGAGCCAGCTGGTTGGTCAGGGCCCCGTCAGCGAACTGGGGGTCCAACATGAGAGACTCAGTCCCACCCCCAGCGAACACCATCTCCTGCCACTCTCTGCCCCCTGCCCTGACAGGGGGATGGGCTGGCCAGGTGGGACCCTGGCTGGGGCCGGAGGTGCTGGCCTTTGCTCTGTGACTGTCACTGATCCCCAGCTGAAGCTCTACAAAGGTCAAGGGTGAAACCACACCGGCCCTCTGCTGTGGGTGTCTGAGAGCCGGGGGATGGGGGACCTGGGCAGCAGGCTCACCTGGGTCACTGCCGAGAAGAACACCTGCAGCAGGGTGGGCACAGCCTCGGCGCACTGCACCACCCGGGCACAGCTGGCCATGGGCTGCAGCAGCTGGTGGAGTGGCGCCAACCTGGGGGACACACGGTGTCCTGCTGAGCACCCGCCCTGCCCCTACCCCCCGTAGTGCCCAAGGACACGCTCTGAACCCGTGAACGCGCGTAATCCCACAGGCCAGGGCCCGTGGGAGGAGAGGAGGGTGCAAGTGCCACGGCCTGGACCAAGTCCTGAGACCACCTGCCCCCATCAAAGGAGGTCGCCTGTCACCATGCACATCTCGTGCTCCCGAGCCCCACGCCCCTCATCAGCCACTCGCCCCTCAGCAGGGCCCTGCTCCCAGGGGTCGAGTGGAGGCGTCTGGGGTGCGAGCCTCCTGCTCCTAGCGGGGCTGAGCCTCGTTTCTCTGTCTGTAGAATGGGGTCACCGCGGGGCGTACCTCGCAGGGTTACGAGGACTGACCCGCGTAACAGAGAGCCGAGCGCTGGGCGCTGTGGCCAGTGCCTGCTGGAGTGGGGGTGACCCCGCTGTCTCTCTAGGTCAGGGTGCTAGGCCTGGGGGTGGACGCCAGGGCCCAGCTGCCCTGGGACTGCGCTGTGGCCACACACGGGCCTGCCCCAGCAGCTCCTGGCTGAGGGACCCTACCTCTCCACGGTTCCGCTGGCCTTGGCACGCAGCAGGTGCTGGAGGAGACCCTGGAACTGCGGGTCCCGGGAGGCCTCCAGGCAGCTGGGGGTCCGGAGGGAGGCGTCCCAGAGCGGCCTCTCGGATGCAGCTGGGGACAACCTGTGAGTGGACACATGCCTGAGGCCGGGCTCAACGTGGGCTCTGGGCACAGGCCAACCGAGGCCCGACTCGGCCCCGCCCTCACGGGCACCATTGGTTGGAGAGAGAAAGGAGCCGATGTCACCATAACATCACAGCGCCCCGACCCAGTGGTGGGCCTCAGGGTGACCAGAAAGGGCCTGGGAGCCCAGCACCTGTGGGGGGTGGGGCGGGGCCATGCGGGGCCACCGCTGAGTGACGGACAGGCGAGGGGCTCCGGGCTGCCATCGGAGGCGCTGAGTCACAGGCGCTTACTTTGCAGAACACAGAGCAGCCAGGGGAGGGTCAGGGAAGGGGAGGGACACAGTCAGATCGGTGAGGAGAAGGGCCTGGGCACGTGTGACCAGGTGGCGCCCCTCAGGCTCACCTGAGCTGCAGGTCCAAGGCCGCCGTCAGACAGGGCAGGTCGAGCAGCGCGTGGAGCATTTCCACGGCGGTGGCGGCGTCAAGCAGGGACGGGAGGAGTGCCACGAACTCGGCGGTCAGGGGCGGGCTGTTCCAGGCCAGGAACTGCAGGGAGAGGCGGGCGGCTCAGCGGGACCAGGAGGCTTTGGTGGGGCTACCGGCTGGGCGCCGGCCACCACCGAGGGAGGAAGCAGGCCATGACCTCGCTGCTGCTGTCACGGGCGTGCTGCCGTTGGCAGGGGCGTCTGCAGCGGCGCCCCCCACCTTCTCATTCGTCACTGTGACCCAGGATCCAAAAATACCCCGTCCACTTATTTTATTTCTCTATTCTTTCTGCTTCTGCGTCCACTTTTGTGCCAACAACTAAAGCATTTCCACTTCGCTGCAGCCTTTCGCTCTGATTAAAGGAACCACGTCTCCAATTGATTTTGAAAAGACTGCCCACTGACTGCCAGTCACAGAAGACACATCAAAAGCCAATGACACCGAAGGGCTGACCACACCAACCAGAGCTAGATGCTAAAATCTGTACAAACTTGTGAGAACTAAGCCACAGGTCTGGCCTCCACAAGGCTCTGCCTGACGGCGAAGCTGTTTGCCCGTGACACGGGGACACCCTGGGATGCCCCGCACCTCGCCCTCTGCCCTGCACTCCAGGTCACCTGCCCTGGGCCCTGTGGTCACAGCCAAGACTTGCCTGAGGCCCTGCGGTGGAGGGGAGAGCCCGGGACACTGTCCCCCAGCCCTGCCCCCTCCCCCGGCCCCCCACTCTGGCCCAGGAACCAGCTTGCGTGCCTTGAAGAGGTTGGGGAAGCTCAGCTTGAGGACGCCGAGGCTCCTGCCGAACAGGGGGAGGCTGTCCCTGCACAGCTGGAGGAACTCGAAGGCCAGCTCCGGGCTGTGGAAGTGTTCGGAGGGGACCCTGGTGAACAGGTGCTGGTACACGGCTCCCGAGACCACGGCGGCCGCCTCTCCTGAAAGGCACCACGTCCGTCAGGGCAGGGCCGGCAGCAGCACCTGGACCTCGTCGCGACAACACCTCTGCTGCTGGTCAGGGCCCCTCGGAGTCTCTGGCCGAGTGTCCACGGCCGTACGTGTCTCTAGGCCACCGAAGGCTCTGAGGCGTCCACTCGCAAGAGAAAAGCTGAGCTGTCCTCAGCTCCCCAAGGCGGCTCTGGCTCTGCCCACAGACCAGCCACTTTGGGGAGCACGAAGGAGAACGTTCTTTGGAAGCTGCTGGTTTTGTGGCACCTTCCACGAAACTCTCGCGTTCTTACGCAAATGGAATTCTAAGATCGACAAGGCTGATGACACTTTAGTTCGCTACATAAATCCATCTTACAAGTCCCAGCCCAGCGAAGCAACGCCAATCTGAAGCAAGGAAGGGGAGCAGC